TATGCGTAGCCGTTATCCCCATCTTTCCCCGACTCAGGTACTTCTTTCTTCTGTCCGTTCGAGGACGAACGGTTGTTTTAGAGGTGGAGAAAGTGACGACCCAAAGGGTCATCACCTGTTTTATTATTCATTTTGTGCTTCCGAGGCCTCGAAAACCTCATTTAGGGTTGCCTCGATTTGCGTGCGCAGTCCGGGCGCATAGCTGGAAAGCTTAAATATGAATTCTGTGTGAAAAATGCTAAATTTTGATATTAATATGAATATATTTGACTTCGGTCAATATTTTTGGTAAACGGACCCGGACCCGTGATTTGACGGTCCCGGAGGGTCCGTAGAAAAATATGGGACTCGGGCATATGCCCGGAGTCGAATTCCGAGGTCTAGAGCCCGAGAAATGAATTTTTCTGTGAATTTTTTTTTGAAATTATTAACGAAATTGGAAATGAAATTTGATTAAAAGACTGTGGTATCGGGCTCGTATTTTGGTTCCGACGCCCGGTACAAGTCTTATATATGGTTTAAGTGCTTTCTGTAAAATTTGGTTGAAAACGGACGTCGTTTGACGTGTTTCGGACTTGAAATGGAAATTTGATGCTTTATGAAAATTTCAAAGAAAAACATGAGTTTTGAGGCTTGATTCGATGTATATGATGTTATTTTGGCGATTTGATCGCACGGATAAGTCCGAAGGATCTTTTTAAGGTTGTGTGTATGTTTGATTTGGAGCCCCGAGGGCTCGGGTGAGTTTTGGATAGGTGTCGGATTGCATTTCTCACTTTTGGAAAAATCTGGTATCAGTTATCTACAGTTTTTGCATATTTGAAGCCAGAGTTCACAAATGCGAATTCCCAGCTATCGCAAATGCGAAGGCTGGTTCGCAAATGCGAAATCAGCCCAGGCAGGCCAAGGTTCGCAAATGCGAAGCCAGGCATCGCAAATGCGATAGACACTGGTTCGCAAATGCGAGACCCAGTTCGCAAATGCGAAGGGTCCCTTGGTTAGCTTGAGTTCGCAAATGCGAACAATAATGTCGCATTTCCCAAGCCTGCACGGTTCGCAATTGTGAACCCAACTTCGCATTTCCCATATCCGCAGCCCAGCAATTTTTATACTTAGTCGAATTTTCATCACTTTTCACCATTCTTTCAAAACCATAACACCATAGGCGATTTTTCAACGACAATCTTCATCCCAAATCATTTGTAAGTCGATTTTTACTCAATTCTTTCAATCTTTAACATCATTTAACATGTTTTGCCACTTAAAATCAAGGATTTTCATGGGTGAAATTGGGGTTTTTGGGTAGAACCTAGGTTTTCTAAAAATTGGGGATTTGGACCTCGATTTGAGGTCCGATTTCAAAACAAATTACATATTTGAGTTCGTGGGGGAATGGGTAACCGGGTTTTGGTTCGAACCTCGGGTTTTGACCACGTGGGCCCGGGGGCAATTTTAGAATTTTTAGGAAAAAACTTGGGAAATTCATTTTTATGCATTCAAATTGATTCATGTAGTGTTTATTAAAGTAATTGAGCAATTTGTGATTAGATTCGAGCGAATCGGAGGTGGAACCGCGGGGTAAAGTGATAGTTGAGGATTAAGTGGATTTGAAGGCTTTGAGGTAAGTGTTTGGTTTAACCCTAGCTTGAGGGAATAGGAGTTGAGTCATGTTTTCTAATTGCTAAATGATCGAGTACAATGTATAGGCATGGTGACGAGTATCTATACATTGGTGTCTAGCATGACCCTGAGTCCTCATAATGTGATTACCATGACTTGGTTGAAATTTCCGTACTTATTGGAGGATTTCTATATGTTGTGAATAAAATGTGAACGATGATATGATCATTTGATTCCTAGGAGCATTGGCTCGAATTGTGATATGAATATTGAAAGTATATGAAATGACTTGATTCTTTGGAGCGTTGGCTCAAAATGGTAAAGTGGATTATAACGTAAGAAATGAAAGAAAGAGAAAGCGTTGTTGGTATTTCCCTTGTTGGGACGTTTTGTTGAACTTGTTGGTTTCTTTTCCCTTGCCGGGATTCCTTCCGATGTTTTGTTTATTTTTATGCCCCTTATTTGTGACTATTGTTTCGGGAGCTAGACTATCGAATGATATGGATCGGGTTGCACGCCGCAACAATGATATTTGAGAATCGGGTTGCGTGCTGCAATAATGCTAAATGAGATATGAGGATCGGGTTGCGCGCCGCAACAATGATAAATGACAAATGATATGGGTCGGGTTACACGCTGCAACAGTGGTAATGGTGGATCGGGTTGCACGCCGCAACAATGGTAATTGTGGACCGGGTTGCACGCTGCAACAGTTGTTGATGCAAATGTGTTTATATTGAGTATTCGTTCCTTGTTCATTGTAAATTTAGACTGCTTTAGATTGTTACTCTGGATTACTGTTAATATTGCCATCTCCCCATAGCATGTTTCCCCTCCCATATTGTTAATTGTTTGGTATTTCGATTCCGCAGTATATTTATAATTGCACAGGTTTATGTGGTGTCCAGTCTGTCCTCGTCACTACTTCGCCGGGGTTAGGCTAGACACTTACCAGCACATGGGGTCGGTTGTGCTGATGCTACACTCTGTGCGTTTTTCCACAGGTCCAGGTTTTGAGGAGCAGTAGCAGCTTTAGCACGGGAGCAAGCTTCATTTTCACGAGACTGAGGTAGCCTTGCAGGCATCCGCAGGCCCGGCGTCTCTCCCTTATTTTCTTTTCTATGCTGTTGCCTCCATTGTTTTCGAGACAAACAGTTTGTATGTTTCTTTCAGACCTTTGTATTTAGTAAACTCTTAGCAGTTCGTGAGTAATGTGACACGAGTCTTGGGTAGAGGCTATTGTTGACTGTTTCGCGTTTTGATTCAGAGTTTGATTCAGACTTCCGCTATTGTTATTAAATTTCATGTTCTTTATTGATGTTATAAATTGTTAAAAGGTTTGTTTAGTAATGAAAGAGTAATTGAGTAGGCTTTCCTAGATACCACGATTAGGCGCCATCACGACCCCGAGGGCGGGAAATCCGGGTTGTGACAATGGAGTCTTAGCTCATGCACAGAAGATTAAATTGTTGGTTCTCATAATTAATAAACTATGTTCACAGTCGAAGATATTGTTGGAAAAAATATCTTGATGATTGTAGCACAAGATTATTATATAATTTGTCTTGATTATGGGAGTAGTTTTACTCCAACTTCTTGTGCTAGTATACTCAGTGTATATTGAACGGACCAAGTAGAGAAAAGATGTTTTTGTACTGAATATATAAAACATTTTTTCTAATTCATTAAATGAGCTTATACTCCTAATCTTGATATAATTGTTATAATCAATGTAATTTGTTCATTTTTTGATTTATCAAAAGGTACTACTCTATTTAGAGTTAGTATATGCCTAGTAAATTGGACAATGACAAATAATATTTGTGAATAATAATTAGTTGATAGAATCCATGACTCGATTTTTGGGTTTGATGATACCCCTTTATATAAGCTTATAAGTTTTCATGTGAAAACCCGGCCGGTGGATTTTGTATCCGTCACATGAGATGGTTTAAGCGGAATTATAAAGGATTTAATTAGTTAATTGAATTAAATTTTCAGTGATTTAATTTAATTAATTGGTATTTGAAATCTTAACATGGGGAGTTAAAATAAGCGTTGATGAATTTTCGAAATTCATATTGAGGAGTTCAATTGCAATTTTTTAATGGAATAAATTGCAATTAATTATAGTAAGAATTAATTCATGCTAATTTCGAATTAATATTAGTAGCCTCTTATTATTTCTGTGGTCCCTGCTATACCTAGTAAAAACCTGGACAGACTTGGGTAAAAAGTAGCTTGGGAGAAAAGTTACCCTTTTGAGTTAGAGTGGGATTCTACTTATAGAAGCCCACACGATTTCGAGCTCTATTAGGGCTTAATTTCGGATCTATAAAAGGGAGACAGGTTTCACCTAATCAAGCCCGAGAGTTGTATTGTTCTTGCCCACCCAAAAGCAAAATTGTCCAAGGTTTCACTAGGCAAATAGCAGAAGACTGCAGCCCTGGATTCTTGCTGCTTGGAAGATTTGTGCAACTACTTCAAGAGGTTAGTGTTTCTAATCTCGTTATTATTACGTTGTCTTGTTCACATGTATTTGATGCCTAGTTATATGCTTGCTTCCGCTGCGCATGTTCTAACAATTGGTATCAGACGCCGTCTTACATCTAACTAGATAATGTAATACAGCATGCATAGAGTAATATTAAAACGTGTTATTTATTGATACATGTTTGGGATGATTATTCTATGTTAAAAACGTGACTGTTTTGTATGATATTAATTCTATAATTTTGGGTTAATATACAGAATTTTGGATTAATTCTGTCTAAACACGTTTTTCTCTGAAATCACGTATTAAATGGTCGCGGTCCGAGCGTAAACGCGGTAGGACCGCAGCAGAACAATGCTTCAAATTTTGAAGGTCACTCTGGCCGCGGTCTTAGCGTAACCGCGGTAGGACCGCGGCAGGACGTGTAAACTTTAGAGACCAAATTGCAAAACACGGGATTTTAAGCCCTAAACCCTATATTAAACGGTTTCTACAGTAATATAATGAATTTATATGTTGACATAGGTCTTCTTCCACATCGGATAAATTCATTATAGATGATTACTGTGTTTTTTTGTCTCTAGTTATTTCATTACTTGTATTAACTCTCCAACTGAGTTACATGTTGATTGAATGAAACTAGATTTTATAAAAGTGATATTTCCTATCTTAAATTAATAGTTTACTCTCCATCTGAGTTGGTCCTGTTAAATTTATGGGGTTAATATCTCACATCACTCATATATTTTGCATGAATAGTTAAGTTTCCCTAACGAATCTAACTGTTCAATGAGCATGGTTATATGTGTTATGTGTGGTTTTGAATTTAATCATTCTTAATACATAACTAATGATCTATTTAATGTGAATATCTCCCAGATTAACCATGTCTTCATTCAACCCACTTACCTCAATTTTGGACCAAAACAAGTTAGAAGGACCGAATTATGTTAACTGGAAAAGGAACCTTGATATTGTCCTAACTGCTGAAGGTTACAAATTTGTAATCACTGAAGAGTGCCCAGAAAACCCTGAAAATGCTATTGATGATCAGGTTAAGGCCTATGACAAATGGGTTAAGGCTGATGAGATGGCGCGATGTTACATTCTTGCCTCTATGGCAAATGTTTTGCAACATCAGCATCAGTCTATGGGGTCTGCTTATGATATGCTCGAAAGTCTCAAAGAGATGTTCGGTGAGCAAAATCGTGCAGCTAAGTAGACAGCCATGAAAGCCGTTTTGAACACGAAGATGGCTGAAGGATCATCGGTCAGGGACCATGTTCTGAAGATGATGAGTCTTCTGAATGAACTGGAGGTCCTTGGAGCTATGATTGATAAGGAGTCTCAAGTTGAGATGGTCCTGCAGACTCTGCCTGACAGTTTTCAACAGTTTTGCTTGAACTACAATATGAACAAAATGGATTTGTCACTAGCAAAATTGTTGAATGAGCTGCAATCGGCAGAATCTATTATCAAACAACAAGCTCCAGTTGTGGCACTCAATGTTGAGAAATCTTTGATTTCTAAGTCGAAAGGCAATAAGAAAAAGAAGAGGGCTCAAAAGGTTCTGGCACCTGGTGGTGCGGCTGGTGTGAACAAGCCCAAAGGCAAGTGCTATCACTGTAAGCAACCCGGGCATCACAAGAAGCAATGCCCTGCCTATCTGGCAAAGTTGAATAAGCAAGGTAATTCAAATTTAAATGTCGTCGAAACTTGTTTAGCGACTGTTTCTACCATGTTTTGGTATGTAGATTCGGGAGCCACTAATCACATCTGCAATACTTTGCAGGGGTTTCAGGAAACGCGGCGGCTAAATGAGAATGAAGTTTGCATTTTTCAAGCCAATGGCGAGCCAGCACCAGCGCCTTTAGCCTTAGGAGATATTAGAGTTCCGTTTAGTACTGATAGAGTTTTAGTTTTAAAAGATGTTCTCTATGTACCTTCTATTAGAAGGAATTTGATTTCGGTTTCGAAAATAATGGATGCTGGTTATAATGTTTATTTTGCTAATAACTCTGTTGTTATTAAGTTTAATAAACGTTTCATCTGCACTGCTGCTAGAGTACATGACCTTTTTATTCTTGATATATCTCCTCATGTGCTACAACAACCAAAAGAGCTAAATAACATTAATCTACCACATAAAAGAAAACGTATTTCTGAATTGAGTCAAACTTATTTATGGCACTTACGTCTAGGCCATATAAATCTGAATAGGATTTCGAGATTGGTCTCTGATGGACCTTTGAGTTTATTGAAAGTTGAGTCACTACCAACATGCGAATCCTGTTTAGAAGGCAAAATGACCAAGAGACATTTTCCCTCAAAAGGAAATAGGGCCAGTGATAAGCTAGAATTAATTTACTCTGATTTGTGTGGTCCTATGAATATACAAGCAAGAGGTGGTTTTGAGTATTTTGTGGCTTTCACAGATGCTTACTCAAAATATGGATATATTTATCTGTTGCAACGTAAGTCTGAATGCTTTGAGAAATTCAAAGAATTTAAGACGGAAACGGAGAAACGACATGATAAATATATCAAAACATTGCGATCTGATCGTGGTGGTGAATACCTTTCTGCGGAATTCATAAAATACTTATCAGATAATGGAATTACATCTCAATTATCTGCCCCAGGAACACCACAACAAAATGGTGTGGCAGAAAGAAGAAATAGGACCCTTATGGGAATGGTTAGATCAAGGTTAAGTTATTCCGATTTGCCTCCTTCCTTTTGGGGATATGCTTTAGAAACAGTAAACTACATCCTAAATTTGGTTCCTTCAAAGTCAGTACCTTCAACTCCAGTAGAATTGTGGACTGGGCGCAAGCCAAGTTTACGGCATATTCGGGTTTGGGGTTGTCCAACACATGTGCTGAAAAGGAAAGCGGATAAATTGGAATCAAGGACAGAAGTATGCATTTTTATTGGATATCCAAAAGGAACAAAAGGCGGTTTGTTTTATTGTCCCAAAGAAAAGAAGGTAATTGTTACGACAAATGCCAGATTTTTAGAAGAGGACTATCTAACGAACCATATTCCTAGAAGTAAACTAGTTTTACAGGAATTAACCAATGGAGTAACTAAAGAGTCATCTCTAGAACGTATACCGGAAGCCAGTATTGACATACCACTACATTATCGTAGTGGGAGAAATGTCAATAGGCAGCAGATTGCACAAGAACAATTGCCTGACATCTCACTACCCCAAAGTAGTGGGAATAATGTTGAGCAACCTCAGATTGTTGAGCAACCTCAGATTGTTGAACAACCTGAAATTGTTATGCAACATGCAGATTCTGAAGGCCACTCTAGCCGCGGTCCGGGCGTAACCGCGGTAGGACCGCGGCAGAACACTGCTGCAGAATCTGCATACCACTCTGGCCGCGGCCCGGGCGTAAACGCGGTAGGACCGCGGCAGAACACTGCCGCAGCTTCTAAAGGTCGTTCTGGGAGGGATCTTGCAATCCAGGAAGAAGTCAATGATATCCCAGCACCGCTAGGTATGGAGGATAACATTGAGGCTTCAGTTCCAAGAAATGATGATGTGATTCAACAACAAAATCAGCCTCCACCTGTAGTGACTAGTCGTAGTGGGAGAATTATTAGAAAACATCTCCGGTTTGCGCTCTTGGGAGAATCTTATGATAGAATCCCTGAAGAGCCTAATACAGAACCTATTAATTACGACGAAGCACTACATGATACAGATGCTGATAAATGGGTTGATGCTATGAAATCTGAAATGGAGTCCATGTACTCCAATCAAGTCTGGGATCTTGTAGAACCACCTACTAGATTCAAACCCATAGGTTGTACATGGATCTATAAGAAAAAGAGAGTAGTGGATGGAAAAGTGCAAACTTTTAAAGCTAGGCGTGTTGCAAAAGGGTTCACTCAAAAAGAAGGGATCGATTATGAGGAAACTTTTTCGCCAGTAGCCATGCTTAAATCCATAAGGATTCTCTTATCCATTGCGGCTCATTACGATTATGAGATCTGGCAAATGGATGTCAAGACCGCTTTTCTAAATGGAAGTCTTGATGAGTGCATCTATATGGCACAACCAGTTGGTTTCATAAAAAGTGACAATGAGCACATGTTGTGTAAATTAAAGAAATCCATTTATGGATTGAAACAAGCTTCTAGGGCATGGAACACTTGTTTTGACGCATCGATTAGGACATTCGGTTTTGATCAATGTGAAAATGAGTCTTGTGTCTATAAGAAGTGGAATGGAGATAAAGTTACATTTTTGGTTTTGTACGTAGATGATATTTTGCTCATAGGAAATAATGTGAGCATGTTGAATTCAATAAAGGAATGGTTGTCCTCACTGTTCGATATGAAAGACTTGGGACAGGCAGCACATATCCTTGGGATCAAGCTTATGCGAGATCACAAGCAAAGGATACTAGGCTTGTCCCAAGCACTTTATATTGATACTATTCTCACCAGGTTTAGCATGCAAGATTCCAAGAAAGGGTTTCTCCCCTTTAGACATGGAATCTCTCTGTCAAGAGATCAGTCCCCAAAAACGACTGATGAGATAGAAAGGATGAAGGCGGTCCCTTATGCTTCTGCTGTAGGGAGTCTTATGTATGCTATGCTATGTACAAGACCTGATATCTGCTTTGTTGTTGGCATGGTTAGTAGATTTCAGTCTAACCCTGGTCGAGAACACTGGACTGTTGTTAAGCATATAATCAAGTACCTGAAGAGGACTAGGGATTATATGTTGGTATATCACTCAGGTGATCTTGCACCCATTGGCTATATTGATTCAGATTTCCAGTCAGATAGAGACTCTAGAAAATCTACCTCAGGATATGTTTTTACTTTAGGAGGTGGAGCCATAAGTTGGAGGAGCATCAAGAAATCATGTGTTGCTGATTACACCATGGAAGCAGAATATGTGGCTGCATCTGAAGCAGCTAAAGAGGCTGTTTGGCTCAGGAACTTTCTGAAAGAGCTTAATGCACCAATTGTACTTTATTGTGACAATAGTGGTGCAGTTGCAAACTCGAAGGAACCAAGAAGCCATAAAAGAAGTAAGCATATTGAGCGTAAATATCACTTAATTCGGGACATAACTCAAAGAGGTGATGCAAGAGTGTTGAAGATTGCGTCAGAGGATAATTTGGCAGACCCGTTTGCAAAGAGCTTGACACAGAAGATTTTTGACAAGCATGTAGAAGGAATGGGTGTTAGAATATTAGACGCATGGTTATGAGTCTAAGTGGGAGATTGTTGGGATATACTATTAACCATGCGGTTTAGACATAGTATTATATTTTGTTCTTTATGAAACAATTGTTTATTTAATTTATTCAATTCAATAAAGCACTATTTTAAATAGAGCATTTGTAACATGTGTGTCCTTTTGGTTATGTAGTGGACAATTTAGTGTATGCAGTCTTAGCTCATGCACAGAAGATTAAATTGTTAGTTCTCATAATTAATAAACTATGTTCACAATCGAAGATATTATCGGACAAATATCTTGATGATTGTAGCACAAGATTATAGTATAATTTGTCTTGATTATGGGAGTAGTTTTACTCCAACTTCTTGTGCTAGTATACTCAGTGTATATTGAACGGACCAAGTAGAGAAAAGATGTTTTTGTACTGAATATATAAAACATTTTTTCTAATTCATTAAATGAGCTTATACTCCTAATCTTGATATAATTGTTATGATCAATGTAATTTGTTTATTGTTTTGATTTATCAAAAGGTACGACTCTATTTAGAGTTAGTATATGCCTAGTAAATTGGACAATGACAAATAATATTTGTGAATAATAATTAGTTGATAGAATCCATGACTCGATTTTTGGGTTTGATGATACCCCTTTATATAAGCTTATAAGTTTTCATGTGAAAACCCGGCCGGTGGATTTTGTATCCGTCACATGAGATGGTTTAAGCGGAATTATAAAGGATTTAATTAGTTAATTGAATTAAATTTTCAGTGATTTAATTTAATTAATTGGTATTTGAAATCTTAACATGGGGAGTTAAAATAAGCGTTGATGAATTTTCGAAATTCATATTGAGGAGTTCAATTGCAGGTTTTTAGTGGAATAAATTGCAATTAATTATAGTAAGAATTAATTCATGCTAATTTCGAATTAATACTATAATTAGTAGCCTCTTATTATTTCTGTGGTCCCTGCTATACCTAGTAAAAACCTGGACAGACTTGGGTAAA